AAACCACATTTGAAATAAAACATCAAAAACACATCTGAAATCAAACCTCATATTCAAAGCCTTAAGAAACTTAAAAACAAACAAACCCAGATTCCAAACCTACATGTGAATCCCCTACCGAAAATCAAATCCAGATGTTTATGCCTAAATGAATTCGTGATTAGAAATCTAGTAACATCAGGTGAAGATTTACTTCCGATGAACCTCAAATTAAACTTCAGAAACATCAGGTGAAGAAATCGAAATCAAAATCCAGTTATCCTATGTTGATCTTCTGCGAAGAAATCAAAACGGGGTTTCTGAAACGGACAAAGGTTTCTGGATCACATCGATTTCTGAATAGTGTTTGAATAATTAGGGGAATGCAACGATGGTGTGTGGTGGCTCCGATTCACATCATCGATGGTGGTCCTACTCCAATTCACGATTTTTTGCAAAGGTTGTTGTGCTCCAGTGTTGATGTGCCACTGTAGGTGTCGATCAATCTACCCTTTTCTTTTATTCCTTCTTCCTGTTTGCATCTTGTAGCCACCACAATCTTCAGTTACCACCCCTTTCTCTAAATCGAACGGAGAAGAGAAAAAAGATGAAGATAGGAAGAAGCCTCACATGGTCGTTAGTGGGGTGGGTCGCTCGTCGGAAAGTACCAACGGTCATTGGAGAAGTGATGAGTTTTGGGAATGTGAGAACCTAAATGAGATGGTGGATGGGGATAAAACGGGGATCGGTGGGGGAGGGTCTTTTGTTTCTTTTTTTTAATTAAAAATGATAAATAAATAATCAAAAATAAAAAAATAAAATATTAAGGGTAAAATAGTCATTTTGTGTTCGGTAGGGACTAAACGCGTAACAAAAATACGTTTGAGGGACCTTCCGAGTTAAAAAAAAGTATTAGGGACCAAACGCGCAGATTACCCTAAACCACAGGGACCATTCGTGTAATTTACCCTTTAGTTTTTATAAAACAAAAAATAAAAAATAAAAAAATAAAAAAAATAAAAAACCTCATTTTTCATAAAATGCAAAAGATGATAATTAAGAATCATTTTATAAAACCTTCTATTCAATAAATGGTTTATATATATATATATATATATATATATATATATATATATATATATATATATATATATATATATATATATATATATATATGACAAAACTGCAACATTGGTCCCTATGGTATTCAAAAAACTTTAGATATGGTCCAAAAAGTTTCCAACTTGCATGGAAGGTCTAAAATCAAAACATTTCCGTGATTTTGGTCCAAAAAAACTTGAAAAGACGATTATGCCCTTTTTATTTCCTTTTATGTATTTCTTAAATCTGTATTAATATATTTACAATTTAAAAATAAAAAAAATATTAATCTGCCCCCACCCCCCAATCCCCCACCCGTACCCCCCCCCCCTCTCTCTTTTTGACTTTTTTTCTTTCTTTGACTCTCTCTCTCTCTCCCTCCCTCCCTCTCTCTCCTTCCCACTACTGTCATTGCTGTCTCCATCCCTTCTTTGCACTTCAACCGACAAAACTCACATTCGTTTCAAATGTGTGATGATGAGAGACCATTCAAATTGAAACCAAAAATCAAACTAACAAAAAAAACTTGAATCATGTTCTTCATTTGTGATGCAGTTCTGGGTCTTGAAAAAAAAAAGGAACAAAGAATTTTACTACTCTGACAATAAGTATAATCAAAATAATATACATTAAAAATACAATCAAACCAGAAATATCTTGAAGATATCGTTTATGAATAAGGAAACTATACATACAATCCGTGAAATCAAACTAATGATCCTGAAATCATGAAGAAGGAAACCAGAAAAAAAATATTTTTGTTCTTGAGACATAGAAATACATACCCTTAAATCAAATCAGATGAAATTGGAATCATAGACAAGGAAACCAAGAATATTACTTTGTTCTTGAGGTATGTATTCGAAACAAACCTTTGACCTGAACCAAAATCAAACAGTTGGACCTGATGAATCTGAATCATAATTGTCTGAAATCAAATACAGTGAGCATATTAAGAAAAAAATACACCAACATTTATTGATACCTCTACCCAATGATGATTGTCATCGATTGTTATCCATTGAACCCTAATTTCGATTTTGTTTTCTATTTTGCAGATGGATGTCAATTTCCAATTAATACGCTGTTAGACCAAATTTCTTGTTCATTTTCGAACCACTGTTTACAAATCTTGTGGAATCTATAAAACACAAGGATGAACTTTTCTTGGTAGACCGTATATTCAATCGATCAACTGGTATACAATTTTGAAGATGAGTCTTGATTTCTAATCTTCGATTTTGTTGATGGTTTTCACTTTATGATGAGGATGGGGAAATTTTAATGATGCAGTTGGCTGGTGGAGAGGGACGAAGAAGATGATGTAGGTCCATGGTGAAGATGTAGTACAAAGGAGATGCACTCGATGATGAAGAGAGAGGATGAAGGAGAAGCAATCGACGGTGAAGTTGATGTTGTGAAATTAAAGGTGAGAGATTAAAATAAGGGGTAGGGTACCGGTGCGGGTGGGGTGGTTGCCTGATTTTTTTTAATTTTAAATAAGAATTTTATTAAAATAAATAAATAAATAAGAAAAAAAGAAATTAAAAGGGCAAAATAGTCATTTCAAGTTTTTCATGGACCAAAACCAAAGGAAATTCCTAATTTTGAACATTCCATGCAAGTCAAAAACTTTTTGTACTCTATCTAAAGTTTTTTACCACAGGGACCAATTTTGTAGTTATGTCTATATATAATCTTTTTGAGTAAATTACAATTTTAGTTCTTGTGGGTTGGTAAGAATTGCACATTTGGTCCAATTTTTGAAATGTTGATACCTTGCATCCATGCGATTTTAACAAATTACATCCTGTGTCTCGTCCATCTGTCTATATAAGAATACTATTTTACCCTTTCCCTTCTAATATATTTTTATATTTTTTATTTTAGTTATTTACTTTTTCTAATAATAAAAATTTTAATAAACTCCACCTCATTCACTTCTATTTTTTTTTTCTGCCTCTGACTACCATCGTTACTTACCCCCATTTTTCTTCTTCTTCATTCTTTCTTCTTCCTCCTTGCAACACATACCATAGTAATCTCTTCTCTGTATATAATGAAACTTCTTCCAACACACAACCCAGTTAAAACAAAATAGAGTATTTGAATGAAAGTAACAAAACCTCATATAGTTAAATCCATAAGATAGGTTAACAACAAACAACAATCGAAAGACCTAAATAATCCCAATCATAACCCATCACCTACCTTCTTATTTATAGTTAATTAGTTAATAAAGAAAACCAAAAATCAATTTAGTGAGGGTATTATAGGCTTTTTATATGGGACAATGATGATGGATTGTAATTTTTTGAAACGATACGGATGTGATCTATCAACCTTTTATATATTGGACCAAACCTACGATTCCACCAAACCATAAGGATCATTTATGTAAGTTCCTCTAAAACTATTTTGTAAAATTTCTTATCTTAACTAATACATCTATCTCAAATGGAGTTCTAAACCATTCAAGAAGTTGTTCATAATGTTTTTCAGAACACTTCTTCAACTTAAAACGCTTCTCTAATAGGAAATCATCGTCTTCTTGATAATGTTTTCAATTTGTAATTTGATTTCCATTTGGGTTTTAAGGCTAATATGTAAACCTGCTAGAGACCTTAAACAACACTCACACAAAATTCTTTAAATGTACTATGAAGATAAAAACACATAGGAAGCAAAAGACATTACTCGTATGGAAAACACATACTAAGGGTGTTTATTATTGCTAGATCATTAATTGAAGACAAAGCATCGCACGCCTTATAAACATTACAAAGAACGTGGAGCACTAAACATGGGATAACCCACCACTACTTCTGAAAACCGAAAAGAGACTAAATCAACAAGGTACTAAACTAAATTAATAGGAGATAAACATGTGGAGACCTTAATGCATAGAAACCGGATGCATAGAGGTGTTGTACTTTCAATAGAATATATTTTTTATTTTTATCGTCACCTTCAACCAATATTATGTAAATATTATTTTACAAAATACAATGACCTCATTAGTATAAAACATAATTTCGTTTTTTTGGTTGATTATCATCAAACCAACGAAAGATGTGTAGATACACCCAAATATCCATACTAGTCAGATAGGTCGATTTCAACTTGTTTGATTCAACCAAACTCCAATATTTTTGTATCACATTAGTTTTTTCTTTAGATGCAAGTCTGTTAATTCATCTTAGGTTGGTGTAGTATTTTTTGTATAATGCCAATAACTGTTAGTCTTAATTATATATGTATGTTTATGATAGAAGTTAAAGCATTAAGAATTGATATGAAAACCATTTAATTTGTTTCTAGACTCGTCCATCACCATTCAGTCATTCACCAAATGGATTGTTGATTTCTACTATTGGTAGTCCTCTACACTAGGTTGGATTGTTATTTTGGTAAACCAATATTTCTTTGAGAAAATATACTATGTTGAGTTATGATTATGAAACCATTATACATAGGAAAGAACACGTATAGAAATGCTTTTGATTTTACATATATAATGTGATACATGTTTTTGTTTTCACAAAGGGACATGAAATACAATAAATGTTTTTGTTTTTCTTTTACTTTTGATTGAGTTTCTTTTTCTTTTTCTTTTTTGCTTTTGCTTTCTGTTTTTATTATCGATTCTTTTTTATCATATCTTCTTTCCTCCTGCTATTTGAGAAAAAAAAAAATTAACCATCGAGAAACACAAATTATACAAATAGCTATTGAGCATCTTACTCCAATTACTCCAAATTACTATAACCAATTATGAGACTTGAACAAACTAGACTTGTTATACAACTGATTTAATGCAATACATTGAAACTAAAAACAGTCTAAAAATAATCATTTGTTCCAACAAAACAATACTTAAAAAAAAAAAAACATAAAATAAGAGTGTAATAATAATATACATCTTCTTCATAAAAAAAAAAATCCAAGTTGTTGTGTATGCATGGTATTTGAGGTATATAGTTTACCATTTTTACCTTTTCCATATTTCATATTTCATCAAAATATTGAATTCAATGGAGTGATTTGAGATGGAAAATTTGACACGTTGACTGGTATGCCTTCTTGGCTGCAGCCAATTCGAATTTTTTAGTAGCAACTTCATTTTCTTCTAATTTTGTCTGAACAAAAAACCGAATCCACCACGAAGAGCTTCGCAATTTCGCCTATTATAAATATATATAAATTCATTTTTTATTATTTAATGTTTCTTTAAATTTTAAATTTGAAGTAATTGGGATCAAGTAATATAAGAGAAGACTTACAGGGCGACCAAATTTGGACATTTCAGCCACTTTGACTCTACGTTGACCAGGATAACCTTTATCAAAATAAAATCAACATTACTTTTAGACAAAATTACAAAAATGGTCCCTGTGGTTTGCCAAAAGTCACAAAGTTAGTCCCTGCTAAATTTTTTTTTGATGCAAATGGTCCTTGTGGTTTGCAAAACTTGCACAAATGGCCCTTTTTACTAACTCCGTTAGTATTCAGCCGTTAGGGACTGAATTTGTAAGGGCATTTTCGTCTTTTCAAGTATAAAGGGACTGAATTCGTGACATTTGGTAAACCACAGGGACCATTTGCATAAAAAAAAGATGAAAATGCCCTTACAAATTCAGTCCCTAACGGCTGAATACTAACAGAGTTAGTAAAAAGGGTCATCTGTGCAAGTTTTGCAAACCACAAGGACCATTTGCATCAAAAAAAATTAGCAAGGACTGACTTTGTGACTTTTGGCAAACCACAGGGACCATTTTTGTACTTTTGTGTTAGTTTTATATAAAATATAAGTATTCATAAGTGCTAAAAAAACTCACCAGAGAGAATAACAAATCCATCTGAAGATACTCTTGATAATTCTGGAAGAGTTTTGTTGAGGTACCTTGGTGACAAATAGTCAAGAGCATCCGAAACAATAACAAGAGAAAATGATTTTGATTTATAAGGAAGAGGAAACTTAATATCAGCAACACGAACAATTCCTTTTCTTATAAGGCTCTTGCAGTTTGCATCACTTTCATCTAAATCATAAGGTTCAAGACCCCATGCTTCTGTATCTTCTTCTTTCAATAATTTGGACACCACTGAACATGAATCGGGACCCACGTGTAGAACTTTATGCATGCTGTCACCATATGCTTTTTTTAGATATGGTAATGCTTGATTAATCTCTGCTGAACATGAAACACCACCTGCATATTCAACATATCAGAAAATTTATAATCATTGAATAGATAACTGATTGTTATTATTATTATCTTAAATGGTTTACCTTCAAGCCTACTTAGAGCCACTTTATCAATATTGCTTCCACCTGTTGTTACAAAGATAACTTTGATATAAGTTGAGATAGGAGAAGATAGAATTTTTTTAGCCAAAAGAAATTTATATGTACTAACCTGAACCACTATAAACATAGCCAATTATGAGAAAAGCTCCCTGAAAGTTTCGAGAGAATTAGTATTTGTTTTAAGAAAAGAAGAAGAGTATCAAAGGTATGAATCATGAGTAACAGATGTTACAGTAGATGTAAAAGCTTTAAGAGGTGTGATTACCACTAGAACAAGGCCAATGGATAAGAAAGGGGAAGGGCGTGATTTTGGATTCAAGGATCCCATAAAGGGAATGCCAGTTCCATCACCCAAACGCCTTGATAAACTAGCTGGCCTCCTTGACATCTGTATATGTTGTGATTCACCTGCAGAAAAATGTTTAACTCGTTTTGTTATGAAACTGAAACAATGGTAACTTTGAAAGATCAATGTATCCAATATCAGTGACAAATGGGGTGTTCCACAATTTTAATTCAATAGCTGAGATTTAGTATCCTAAATGGCTAAATCAATCCGTTAATTTTAATTGTTCTGTAGCTGACGAACATTTCACTAATCTAAACTAACACAGTCATTTCCAAAACATGCTGATGGATAGTTTTACTCGGGATAAGTATCCAGTTAAAATAAGCGAGACTCAAAATCCTCTTCGAAGAAAAACGGGAGAACGAAAGTGTCCCGAACTAATACATTAAGCGACTTGACCACTTGGTATGAATGTATGACGAAAACCTAACGCGGCATTCTTCAAATCGTTTTTAGCCCAGCAAAACAAGCAATCAACCAATTTTCGTTACCACTCAATACAAATAACAAAAAATTTACTAGAATCGATCAAGTCAAAAGCATTATTCAACTGATTCTGTCATAATTCGTTGTTCATACTGGTATATTCCTCAAAATTAACAAGCAGATAGTCAGCAATTGATTAAACAATTCATCGTAATGCGAGAAACAAACAAAAACCACAGTGCGCGAGTGATGAATAGAAAGAGAGAGTGTGTGTGTAACCTGAATGAAGTCGGAGAGAGCTTGGAGCTTGGAGATCTTGAGTTGAGAGTAGTTATTTGGATCTAGATCTGTGTTTTTTGCAGTAAAATTGTGCTAAAAATCAAGTGGGGTTGTATGTTACTTTATAATTATCTCTCTAGGATTCTCTCTCTATCTCTATCGCAAACTGTGATTAAGAAATGTATAAACTTGTACTGTAAATTTCTGCGATTTCTGGTGAAAATGACAGGTAAATGCGCACATCGCGCATGTTAGTAGGGACGGGAACCCGCGTTGTCGGTTTAGGCTTTCATTACGCGTTGAGCGAAATGGGCTTTTTTTCTTTTAACGTTCCTAGATTGGGCTGGACGCCTATCTAAGAACCCGGCCCATATATGTATAGAGTTTGAGTTGATGTTTGTTCTACTTAAGAGGATGGACACGTATTTGTAGAGAGGAGAGGAAGAGAGGTCGTCCGTGCAGGAAGTGGATAGACATGTGATGTTAGACTTGAAAGAGTTAGGTTTTATGAGTACAAAACATCTAATAGGAGGATGTGGAGATATATGATTAAAATAACATAGTAGTATAAGAGTAGTTAAGACTTACGAGCAGTCATTTAGGTTTAATCTTTTTTCTACTTGTCTCCTTTCCTCACAAGCCTATGTTTGTGCTAGTAGTCTTAGGAGTCTACCTAGAGCTGTAAACGAACTGAACGTTCGGCGAACGTTCGTGAACTGTTCGGCGAGAAGTTCGTTTATTTAATAAATGAACGAACATGAACACAAATTCTCGTTCGTTTAGTTAAACAAACGGACATGAACAATGGTCTCGTTCGTTCATTTACGTTCGTGAATATTAGATAATTAAGGATTTATATTATTGTATTTATCAACTCCTTTGTTATAGGAGTATATCTTGTATAATCTGTTGTTATCTTGAATATAAATACATAAACACACACACGTTATTTTGTGTGGTTTTCAATAATAACCTCTTATATGGTATCAGCCTAATATCACCGTTCTTTTCTGTCCTCCCTCGTTAACCCTACTTTCTGTCTTCTTCTTCTTCCTGGTACCTTCAATGTCGACATCACAAGATGGAATCTTCTCCATGAACACGCTTCTCCACATGATTCCAATCAAGCTGTGTTCCACAAATTATCTCTTATGGCACAATCAAATGCTCCATCTTCTTTCCTATCGAAAACTAATGTCTCACATCACAGGAGACTCCATTGCCCCTCCAACTACCATTCTCGTTGATAATAAGCGCGTTCCAAACCCTACTTATACTTCGTGGCATGAGTTGGATCAAAAAGTTGTGATTATTCTCAACTCTTATCTCACAGAGGAGGCGGCGGCTGAAATCCTTGGTCTTACCACAGCTCGTGTCATCTGGACTGCTCTAGAGAACGCCTACAGCAACTCTTCTGTTGAAAGAATTCATTCTCTACGAGATTCTCTTCGACAAATGTCAAAAGGTACTTCCTCTGTCTCTGAATATGGTCGGAAGTTCAAGAGTGTGTGTGACAAACTTACTGCCATAGGGCAGCCAATTTATGAAATGGATAAACTCCATTGGTTCATTTGTGGGTTAGATGCTTCTTTTGAAAAATTTTCCACAACCATTCGCACAACCAAACCTGCACCAGTTTTTCGTGATTTACTCTCTCAGGCGGAGAGTTATGAGATTTTTATTCAGTCCATACATGGCACCACCACTCCTCATGTTGCTTTTGTCTTTCAACAGTCTCGTTCTACTACATCTCGTGGCCGTCAGCAATACTACTCAAGAGGAGGAGGTTCTCGTGCTTCTTCTAATGGTGGTAGGGGTCGTGGGGGTGGGCATCCCCCCCCCATTGTCAACTGTGTCGTACAAATGGTCACTACGCATCTTCATGTCCCAATCTACATACGTATGCTTCAAATGCTTCAAACTCGGATGCCAATCTTGCACAAGCCTTCCACTCACAGTGCCATGTTACTCAAGGAAACCCGGACTGGTATGTTGACTCCGGTGCCACAGCTCATATGACACCTTCATCAGAAAATGTTTCTTCTTCGACTCCTTATTCGGGTACTATGCATGTCACTGTCGGTAATGGTGCTAAACTCTCTATTTCTCATATTGGTCGTTCTAATCTTTCTAATAAACTCGAATTACGTGATGTATTGGTTATTCCCAAGCTCACTAAAAATCTCTTGTCTATTAGCAAACTCACCATGGATCATCCGGTTGATGTTCTCTTCTCTCAACCATTTTTTCATATTCAGGACAGGGCAAGCAAGCAGATGATAGCTCAAGGAACATGTGAAGAGGGACTCTATGTGCTTCATGATTGTCAAAACGCTTTGGCTGCAGTTTCTAGTGTTTCTAAGAAGGCTTCTTTTGAATTATGTCATAATCGACTTGGACATGTTTCCTTTGATGTTATTTCTTTTTTGAACAAATTAGGTGTTTTACATGTTACTTCAGTTTTACCTAAACCAAACATTTGCAAACCTTGTCAGCTTTCTAAGGGACACCGATTACCATTTGAATTAAATTCTAAACGCTCTCTATTTCCTTTAGATTTAATCCATTGTGACTTGTGGGGACCAACACCTGTTTCCTCAAATGTATATTATGTAGTTTTCGTTGATGATTACTCACGTTTCACATGGTTCTACCCGTTGAAAACTAAATCAGGTTTCTACTCGGTATTAACAGCCTTCATCAAACTTGTGCAAACTCAATTTTCCAGAAAAATCAAAGTTTTTCAAAGTGATGGTGGCACTGAATTTGTTAACAACACTGTTCGAACAATACTTGAAGAAAATGGCACTTTTCACCGATTATCTTGTCCTTACACTCCTCAACAAAATGGACGTGCTGAACGAAAGCACTGTCACATTGTTGAAACAGGATTGGCTATGTTATTTCATGCTCACGCACCTTCATCTTATTGGGTAAATGCTTTTATTTCAGCAATGTTCATCATAAATCGATTGCCTACCAAAGTTCTCTCACAAAAGTCACCATTCCAGCTCCTCTACAATCGAATGCCATCTTATGACAACTTTCACACTTTTGGATGTCGAGTGTATCCTTATCTAAGAGATTATTCAGCAAACAAGCTCTCTCCAAGAAGTATTCCATGCATTTTTTTTGGTTATCACTCACAATATAAAGGATTCAAGTGTCTTGATCCATCATCCTCTAGAATCTACATCACTCGACACACAAGGTTTGATGAAACCTCTCTTCCATTTACGGGTTCCACAAATTCTCAACATTTTTCAAGCTGGCCTTTATACGCCTATGTTGACGATGGCACTCCCGATTTACTGCAAGAGCCTCCTGTTTACGCGACCAGGTCTAATTCATCAACTTCCCGGCCAAGTCCACAACCCGATGAGTCTGTTTCATCTCCTCCTTGTGGTTTATGTAGACCTGATATCGACTCAACCATAGTTGTGTCTACACCAGCCCAAGTTCAAACTGATGCTCCTTCTGCACCTCCAATTACCCACGAGCCTACTGCCCTTGGATCATCAAGTTCTCATCCTATGCACACTCGGTCTAAATCAGGAATTAGTAAAACACGATATATTCCTGATTTTACCTACTTCACCGCTCATGCTTTACATGTTGCACTTCTTTCTTCCTTGCCACCCAAAGGATTTAAATCAGCAACTAAAAATCCTCAATGGATGGCTGTCATGCATGAAGAAATGGATGCCTTGAAGCAAAATAATACATGGACTTTAGTTCCACGTCCACCTGCTTCCAATGTTGTTGGATCTAAATGGGTGTACTGCACAAAATACAAATCAGATGGATCCGTAGAACGACTTAAAGCTCGCTTAGTTGCTCAAGGGTTCATTCAAATTCCCGGGATTAATTATTCTCACACCTTTAGTCCAGTTGTTAAAGCCTCCACGGTTCGTATAGTTCTCTCTCTTTCAGTATTGCATAAATGGCGCTTACATCAACTTGATGTCAAGAACGCCTTCTTACATGGATGTCTAAATGAAACCGTATTTATGGAGCAACCACCTGGTTTTGTTGATCCTCAACTCCCCAATCATGTTTGCAAACTCTCTAAAGCCTTATATGACCTAAAGCAAGCTCCCAAAGTTTGGTTTCATCGTTTAAGTACATTTCTACTTTCAAATGGATTTCTTTGCAGTCGTGTTGATCCTTTTTTGTTTATCTATGCTCGGAATTCATGCATCATGTACTTACTCGTGTATGTGGACGACTTGATTCTTACTGGCAACAATGAATCTGTTCTCACTGCCTTCACCACTCGTCTTCATCAAGAATTTGCAATCAAAGACTTAGGTGATTTAAGCTATTTTCTTGGTCTAGAAGTCAGCTACACGGATGATGGACTCTTTTTAAGTCAATCCAAATATGTCACAGACATCCTTACTCGCAGTGATCTCTTAGATTCTGAACATGTGTCTACTCTACTTGCAACTCATGAAGTCCTCACGTCAAACAGAGCTCCTTTCAAAGATATCACTCTTTATCGTTCATTAGTAGGAGCTGTAGCACCTGGTTCTTGGTACGTATTCTTTTATTTAATTCTCTAAATGTTTTGCAATTTTGGCCTTGGACTCGGCGAGTTGAAGGACCAACTCGCCGAGTAGAAGCGAGTTGAGACGCGGGGTTTAAGCTGTGGACTCGGCGAGTCGGGTCCCTGACTCGGCGAGTAGGCCCTGTCTGGACAAAAAACCCTAACCCGAGGGTTTGCACCCTATTTAAACACCTTAACTCGGCCTCCTTCGTCCCATTTACTCCCAGAAGACCCCCATAGCAAACCCTAGCCGTTATTGAAGCAATCTAAGGCATTTGGAGTGATTTTGGTGCTTTGTGACCCAAGGAAGGAAGGAAAAGCTTGAAGGATCAAGAGGAGGCTAGAAGGATCCGATTTGAGCATCATTTCCAGTCTACAGAAGGTATAAAGTCTATACCTTGCTTGTTCTTTTGTTAGATCCCATTTCATGGAGTTTTAGGGCTTTTCTAAGCCATTTTGGTCACCAACCATGATTGCAAGCATGGTTTGGGGTTGATGTTTCGGATCTAGGTCCTTAGAAGGGTTACAAGGCAGAAAGGAGTGGCTTTTGCACTCAAAGAAGGCCCCATGCTTTGTAAGAGCTTTTTTTAGGACCTTTTGAGCTCAAAGTCCCATGCAAGCACGTAAAGGTTGTAACTTTACGTGCTAGATCGATTATAGAAGCTTGGATCTATCTTTTGATCAAAGGTTGTATATCAGAAATCAAGGATTTAGAGTGTGGATATGACCGACTCGGCGAGTCCGTTCTTGGACTCGGCGAGTCCGAGGCTTTGAGGCCCATATTTGTTAAGGGTCAAGGACCCAGTTGAGTGTGGAAAGGTTTCCGGGAGGTCCCGGGGAGTGACCCAACGTTCTGGACTAAGCCATTGTTCTGGAAGTTCATGGGACTCGGCGAGTGCACGAACGGACTCGGCGAGTCCACGGCAATCTTCTTAGAACTCGACGAGTTGTTCATCAACTCGTCGAGTCGAGGACAGAACTTGTTCATCAGATAAAGGTGGACTCGACGAGTTGTTCACCAACTCGGCGAGTCGGATGAGTTTTTCATG